CTTCGATGTTGGGTGGGTTCAGTGGAGCTGGTCGATTCAATAGTTCCTTAAAGTGCTCCACCCACCTATTTCTCTGTTCGTCAGTGTTGCTGATTATTTTCCCTTCCTTGCTTTTCACTGGTCGTTCTGGTTTACGATAGTTTCCGGCGAGCTTCTTTGTAGTTTCGTACAATTGTCTCAAGTTTCCTTCTCTTGCAGCCTTTTCCGCCGTCATTGCTAGATAATCCACATATTTTCGTTTGTCAGCTCTGATGCTCTTCTTCACTTCCCTGTTTGCTTCTGTGTATGCAGCTTGTGCGGTAACTTTCTCCGCTCTTGTTCGGCTGACATTGATTGCTGCTTTCTTGTTCCTCCTTTCTTCAATTTTTGCGAGAGTATCAACAGAGATCCATTCCTTATGATGCTGCTTCTTGCGACCAAGGACCTCCTGACATGTTGAAGTGATTGCCTCCTTAATCCCTTTCCAATTGTTCTCCAATGTTGCTTCCTCTCCATTGAGTAGATCCTGAAAGGCCTGGAACCTATTGGTGAGGGCTATCTTGAATTCGTTGAGTTTTACGGTATCCCGAAGAAAGGCCGTATTAAACTTGTGTGATGTTGTCTGCCCCGCTGTCCAGTGCTTCTTTAGCTTCAATCTCATTTTGGCGATCAGCAAGTGGTGATCTGAAGCTATATCAGCTCCTCTCTTGGTTCTCACATCCTCCATGGTCCTTCTGAACTTTTTGTTGATACAGATATGGTCAATTTGGTTTTGAGTAGTGTGGTCCGGTGAGATCCATGTGGCTTTGTGAATGCGTTTGTGCGGGAATATTGTGCCACCGATGACCAGTTTGTTGAAGGCACATAGGTTTGCAAATCTCTCACCGTTTTCGTTCCTTTCTCCCAGTCCATGTCGTCCCATGATGTCTTCATATCCAGTGTTGTCCATTCCAACCTTGGCATTCAGGTCTCCCATAAGAATCGTCAAATCCTTTGGTGAACATTTATCGACGACTGACTGCAGCCTTTCGTAGAATTGATCTTTAACGTCGTCATTGTAGTCATTGGTAGGTGCATAACATTGGATGACGTTCATTGTAATGTCCTGTTTCTTTGTTTTGAAAGATGCTTTAATGATCCTCGGTCCATGAGATTCCCATCCTATCAGTGCTTTTTGTGCATGTTTGGACAGCATCAGTGCAACTCCTTGTGTATGTGAAGCGTTTTCCTCTTCATGACCAGAGTATAACAGCAGTTCCCCTGAAGCAAGTCTCAGTTGTCCTACCTGTGTCCAATGTGTTTCACTGATGCCGAGCACCTCGAGGTTGTATCTTTTCATTTCTGCCGCAACTTGAAATAGTCTTCCAGTCTCCCACAATGTACGAACGTTCCATGTACCTAAAAAAATGGTTGCTCTGGTTGTCAGAAGAGGCATCGGCCCCGTGACTTCCGAGGGGACTCGGCTTTCATCACGAGACGTCATAATTCTTCCTCCAACTCCCAGGGCAGAGTTAAAATGGTTTGAATTATTTTTTCTGGTTAGCGTTTTTTTGGCAAGTTAGATTTCAACGGAATGGGGCCGCCAACCCCATGTCCAACCCTCCTCCTTTATCCGGGCTTGGGACCGGCAGTAGCCCCTAAGGTTCTACTGGCGGAGTTAAGATCAATATATGAAAGGGATCATAAAAATTCCAAGTTTCTTCTTTTAACGGCCATAGTCGACTTGGCGATACTTTCATTCACCGTAAAAAGATTCTTTCTTTGCATGGTCACAGAGTTTGATGGTTATACATTCAACGTCGGTTAAGAGCCACACGAGAAATGAGCGACTGCGCTATAAACGATGGTAGAAACTAAGCAGTCCGTTGGACGTATGCAGTAACTTGATAGTAACGGGCTCTAAGCAATGCAGACTATTTGCCACTTTAGTGTCACAACATGAATACCGCAATCGTTGTTCTGATTAACACCAATCCAGTTCATTTACGATAGTAGTAGGAATTAGTCTACTAGGAACGCAAGAAAATGGCAGAATAATCGAGAAAAACACGTCATCTGATTGCAACTTGGCTAAACAACTTCCAAATCAACATCAGGTCTGACTTAACATGACAGTTTACGAACAATAACAGACTAACCGTTTGCGTATCTGGTTTCGATGGCGTGACCACCTTTCGCCTCCGATCTCTAGTTTGTACATAATTCGCGCTTCTACCCACGCAAGATATTAAAAAGGGGAGGGGTGTTGGGGATGTTAGGTCCCCAGAACTCGCTTGATGAATATCTATATTATGGATTTATTTCATGGACCGAACAGTTGCCCTTGAGATCACATTTCCCACCAGGAAAATCCTTGGCTGTGATTGGTTACTGTGTCATTCTAGTGTACTATTCTTGTGACTGTCCCAAGGACGTCACTACAGAGTATAAATAAACGCAGTTTGAGTGCTTGGATTCATTGTGTGCTGGCTGGGTGTTTGTAGAATATAATTTCTAGGTTATATCAAGACTTCTTGCTGATACGATTTGGAGTTCATTGTCTCGTTCTCGTTATTCGACTAAGGTGAACTCGTAATAGTTTAAGCATACCTAGAGACGAGCGTAAGAGGTTCAAAGGCAGGATGAAATCGCAGTATTTGTCCAACTCACTAGCACCAAACTTTCGAAGTCGCAGCAGAACCTTCCAAGCATCATCTTGAATGGCGAAATCAAATTTAAATAAATCTTCACAACGCCGGAACCACATATCAAAAGTAACATTGGCATCAGGATCATAATGAAATTCAGCTATGCTATTTGCGATGCCGTCGACCGATGGAGCTGTGGTTGCATTAGATGAACTGTGGAAGGGGAAGTCTTTATATCTGTCAACGTCTGCATCAGTTTCAGCTGCTGCTCAAGTAATAATTCAAGTTTGGCAGGATCCATGTTTCCAAATATACCGTCGCCAAATTTTAAGTTCGTCACCACGTATGTTTAAAGCTATTACAAGTTCACCTTAGTCGATAAACGCGAACAAGACAATTACCAGCGTCCAGATAGGCGACTGTGATCCCAAAAATGCGAAAGAGAAGTCTTGATAAGCGTAGAAAGTATATTCTAAAAGACCCAGCAAGCACACAACTCTCGTTTATTCATACAACATAGGAACATCCTTGGGACAGTCACAAAATAGCACACTAAAATCACAGCCACGGATTTTCCTGGTGGGAAATGAAATCTCAAGGTCAACTGATCAGCCAATGCTCGCAAACGTGAAATCCAAGATAAGGCATTTATCAAGCGAGTTCTGGGGATCTAACATACCCAGCACAATCTGTGCCTGAGCTTTTCATCTGTTTTATGCAGAGCATAAAACTAAACAACTTACAATGTCAAATAAAGGACAAGTTATACACCTCTATTTGTTACAATCCGTAAATTTTTAATTATGAAATCAATGATAATTTGAATTAACAAGAGTTGGGAATAGATCAACATATAGGATAATATATCTCTTGTAAACACTTCAATCTCCCTACACACACACTAATCAACAATCTCAAGATATTCAGACGATAAAGAAAATTCCTTTTGTACACAAATTTAAAAAAAAACTAAATCAAATAAATTAATCTTTAATCAAACAAAAAATTACAATGACAATTATAAAAGCGTAATATAAAGAAAGTTAAGACAATTTACACAAATGGTCAAAATGATATAATAGATGTTCTATACAGTAGAAAAAAAAGGAATTGACTGACGGATAAGTTAGTTAAAAGCAAATAAAAAATCTTCCAATATAGATAGATAGATATTATATGTTAGATCTTAAAGGAATATCAACCAATTCACTTCGCATGCATAAAAACTCACCCATCAATGTCATTATAACAATAGATAATAAATTAACAATCCACCAGAGAATAGATTGAGGAAAACTATGCGAATAGATAATACAAAATATAAAATGCCAAAAATGTATTGTACAAGAAAAATCAAGACATTGTTTACTGCGTTTAACAATATACCATAGACCAATACTACATATTAATGGTGTTAATAGAAAACCAATAAAAAGGCATATACCATTGGATTCCGGGAAATGTATGTTGGAATCAATAAAAATCATATCCAATGTGGGCGAACGGTGCGAAAAAATTACCAATAGCAGTCCAGAAACCAAACCGGCCGATATATAAAATAAGCATTGCATAAATATAATTTGACTGATAATTAATATGGGATCCCAAACAGTACTACGAAAATTTGATGCCATTCATATGAAACACAACCAAGCCTAAAAAGTGAAGAGAGAGAAACAGATAAACAATTCTAATCAACATGAATTGACCTTAATTGGACAACCATTATTTTGGCAAAAAAACCACTGGATAGTTAGTTGTCCCAATCTTGGCAACAGGCTTCTCAGAAGAAAAACACAAACATAACCTTTGAGACTTGTGGTATATGATGTGCTTAGTCTCAAGATCATCAAGTAGAGGTGGCATTTAGTGGTTTCATCATGCTCAATTCCGACCAATCCAATCGATACTAGAAGGAAACCGATCATCAGTGTTTTTTTGATTGGTAATGAAGTTGTCCAACTAAGATTAATCAATAAGTGAACCGTGCAATGCAACAAACTCCACACACTTCCGACAACAACCGTCATATATATACATATATATATGTACTATTGTACTAAAAACAAAAAGTGAACACCATAAGTCGTAGTTGTATATTTTGTTTTCCCGGCTTTTTCTAGCATTGTTTTCTCTCAAAAAAAGGGTAAACTACAATACATAATGTATACAAAATTACATTATGAATAACACAATTAAAATTGCTAGATACTAAGATTTCTTACAATCTAATATATAGAAGAGCACAGAAGAAATTATAAAAAGGAAAAGAGAATATTCCATCACGTGTTTTTTCATTGCGTTTAACTCTTTTCTTTCCTTTTCGTCGACATTTAAGAAGCTTCAAAAAAAGCGAAATATTTCTATCACATAAAAAAATTGGATTATTTCATCTTAATTGTTACGATTCCATCCGAGAATATTGCAAGTCTATGATGCGAGAAAAAACACACACACACACAAACAAGTTACGTTAAATACGGAAAACCAAAATAATTCGATAAAAATGCATTGTAGCACATGATAAACACTTATGGAATGAGTATGTTTTATGCAGCGATCAAATATATGTAGGGACATAGTTTGTACAAGTTTCAAATGTCGAAACATTTTCATTACGTCAGTTGTATATTGTTTTTTTTTACGTTCAACTATGCTATCCGATGAAAAATTATTCTATAAATATCTATGTGAAATACGAAACCCAAAAGAACTAACGATGCATGATGAAACACAAGGTTATACAATTAACCAAGAACAGTAGTTGTCCACATCAAATTTAATGTGAATTGAAGGTGAGTAGTAATTCGGTAATGATGATTTCATTGGTTAAGACAGTCAACTAAGCTACAAGTTCAAAACTAACTCTACATAGTTCGATTTAGGTAGCTAAGGGGGCCTCAAATATTGGTAGTGTGGCTTAAAGTCAAATAAACAAATTTATACTTCATGGGCTAGAAAAAGCTTAGTATAGTATGAGTGGAGTTTGCATAAAATGCAGATATGAACTAGATTATGAGATAAATAAATTATGATGATAAAGAAATATGCCTCTTCAACATTATGAAAATTGCTATACTCAAACAAGTATTCCCAAAACTACGAGGAAAGGTATACACTGAACAATGAACATAAAAAGGTATAATGCGAAATCAGTTAATGAAAATAAATTAGAGCAATAGGTTTAATAATAACGTTTAGAAAGACCGTTTGTTATAAAAAAAACAATAATCATAGATAACAATATGGCATATCAACCAGGGTTGTGATTAGCACTAGAAATGAGGACACGCTGAATGCGCCTACATCTTGGTGTTAGTTGACCACTTGTTACGCATGCATATAAACACGTCATTTGAGATGCTTGATTTATTAAGCGTTTATCTCAGTCAGTAAACGAGATCGAGGATCCGGCGACACGACAGGCTACTCTAATCTGAACGTCCCTTAACCCCCACCCCATTGAGTAAAAGAATAAGACTTGATATGAAGTAAAACCTGTATTCTACAAACGTCCAGGAGTACAAGGTCCGAGTCCAGAAGATAACCAGGATCCCGGACTAGGGATCCGGGTCATAAAACGTTACAGATAATGCGTATTTATACAGTTAGGTCGCGTAGGAAACAACGTTGAAGACGGTGAGATTGATAGTTAGGACGACCATAATATTGACCAGTAGGCATTGACCAACAGAATTAGGCTTCCGAAAATAATTCTCTTAGGTTATTCAATGAATATCCTAACATCACTACAGAGAAACTCAAATCTAATACACACATTGTTTTACACGCCAATACATTAATTAGCCAATAAAGCGAATGAGTTCACATAATCACTAACTTGATCAAGAGGTAAGGAAGTATTGTTTTTATAAGGGTTTGTAATTTTTCACAGATGATATTTGGGACTGATAGGTAATAAGTCATCAAAAATTGAAAATAGTTACATAAAACTTACAACATTTCCAAAAGCTAAAACACCATTTCTAAGCATACTTGATGTAGCCTTTAACTAAAATTTTCAATGAACAAAAAACATTGAAAAAGACATTGTCTCAAGATAAGCTAATTTACTTAGAGAAAATAATGGGAAGAAAACCGTAAGACAAAATAACTTACTCAAATTAGTTTTGTTTTTATTACGGAAAAAGCTTACAAAATCATTATGCAATAATATGAACTTTTTAATTCATTAGTATTGATCAAATCTTTATGATAAATTGGAATATCGTCAATAGTTTTAATAGCTCAACACCACGAAGAATATGGTTTGGTGTAAGATGATTGAGGGTAGTCAATTGGAAACCCTGGAACAAAGATTCATGGCAGTTGAGACTTTTCAGTATGGCTTAGCAGCGAGTTAGGGAGTACTGATGCTTCCTGTGGAATTCGAATCAGTGTCATCTGGTTTTAAAGTCTAACACATTATAGCCGAATTATTCGATTACTGCCATCTAACTTACATCAAAAAAGACTTCACTGTCAAAGTAGTGTTCTTAGTGTAAGTCTTGATTATTCAAAAATAAAACTAAGCATTTATTTTACGGTCCGTGTGTTTGACAGTTGGAGCTAGTTGAAAAGTAACCCTGAACCTAAGTTTTGTGCACTTTAGCGTATCAGTGATCTTGACGAAATTGGTACAACCTAGTACATTTGATTCCGCACCACCTAGCATTAGAAACTGTGATATTAGCATTGACACATTCCAGGTGCAACCAACTAACTGTGATACTGAGATATTTCCAACTGACTGGTCACTGAATAGAGACCAATGTCTTCTATGTCTAGTCACATCAGTGCCAATGCAAATCTGTCGATCAAGGGAGAAGTATGACGATTGTTAAATGGCATTAAATTCATGCCTAGAGTTTCTTATCTACTACCTGAAATATATGCATTATGAATGAGATTTTGGTTCGCTTAGACTAATGATCAGATCGCAACTTTTAATAGATAGGATTCAACCGGCGTTGAGAAGTACTATACAAACTCGATATTGGTTACTATGACTACTACTAATTATCAGTGGATAATCAAATGTAAATTTTACATTTCAATTCTGCAATACTTTGAAACGATAATATATATTCTTAAAATGAAAAAAAACCAAAACAAGAAGAAAGAAAAGACAAACAACTTACATTCATTTGTTTCATAGATCGTAAATCTTCAATTCGTTTATGTAAAAATATCCATGATTCTGAAAATTCCGGAGATTTATCTTGTAACATGTACAATTCTGTTAAATTGTACACATAAGCAACACCTAAACGTTTCGCATACCATGATAGCTAGAAAATGAGATAAATGTTATGTTTTTTTTTGTTAAAAGGACAAGTTAGTTATCAGTTCAAAAAAAGTATTATTATTATAAACTATCAGTAACTTTAATAAAAGGTGAATAATTTAAACCATTGAGAATTAATGTGATATTATAAGCTGAGATTAGAAATTTATCTTCAATGTGTTAATGTAGCGCGGTAACTTGAATCGATGATGATCATTAAGTTCAAGGTTCTATGAATAATTAACTGAATTAATAAATGATTAAAATTAACAGAACAGAAAAATAATCCATATTTCGTGATGATAGTTTCAGACACACTAGGTATGATTTTTAAAGCAGCTTAGCGATAAATCATGGTTTGTATAAATTTCACATATTAATATCATTTATCGTATTTTAAGTAACTATTGTAGTACAGATACAGTGAACGAAGACGTGAAAACTAGGTGGAATTGTAGCGTATTTTGGATAGACACAGTTGACTGACAAAATTTCTACACTTTAATATTGAAATTTTTATTTGCACAACTTTCACGTGTCCACTGGTCTTCAAAACACCTTGATCAAGCCATAATATTTGGTTCCGACAATCTTTTCTCTAGTGGTAACTTCTGGGCGACAGTTCGGTGAATACCACTTATAAGCCACCGTGGCGGGTATATATCCACCAGACGGGAAGTAACGATACTATCTAGACGCATCAATTAAACCAGATGAAGTATTGTTGTATCTGTGACTGAATAAATGGAAGTTGAGAATCTAAACTACAACTTCACTCTATTGACCTCCTAGTTATATCATGTTTTAGCATTTATTCAAACACACATTTTATTCCCATCTTTTTGAAGCCTTTTCACAATGTTTAAACGTTCTCGTTATCATTGATACTATAATTATTTCAATTTTTTGTTATGCCAATTAGGAATAAAATATATATGTGCTCAGCTTTACATTGATTATGACTGACCTGATAGCTCTGCTATGGGAGTTCATAAAAATGTATACTGATTAAATAATAATAATAATAATAATAATAAACTTTAAGAACCTACATCAGTTGAACGATCACCTGCTTGAGCCCATATTTCATCAACAAGTTGAGCAAGCATACCAAGTGAAGAGGGAATATTTGTAGGTAACGATAATAAACCTAAAGCCTGAGGCCAAACTTCTATGTATGGTAGAATCATTTTCAGTCGATACTCTAGAGCACGATATAAAAATCGATCAACTTCATCAGCTGTAGACGGGAATGATGATAAAGATGAGCTAAGTTAAAAATAAATCAATAAACTTTTATTTTACCAAAAATGTTATGATATGTTTTACTGAATATACAGATAAAAATACGATTACAGTCATCTATTTTCTAGAAATCATTTAATCTAAAAGTTTTTTTAAGTTTTACATTAAATAACGATTAAATGTAGACAATGAGTTCAAAAAACCATCACCAGTTAGGATAATGCATAAATACACTGAATAATCACTAGATAAGGGAATAGTTACCACTGAAATATTTAAGATCCATTTCAATAGATTCAAAAACGTTCTATACTCATTTAGTTAACAATGCATTGAGACTAAAGAAATGAAAACATGCAAATTATTCAAACATTTTACAGTCTATGTTAAAAGCCCTTCCTACTGAACTTTTTTTCCTTACTAACCAATTGTGTAGTATTGATAGAGTTACCATTAGAATGGTCTTAAAATGGTTCTTTAGCTTACATAAAACATAATTTAATTATTCAGATTACCTAATAAATGGTATCCATAAAGTAGTATGCTAAACACTCAAGGTCTGAGGGCGTAAACAGACAGACAGACAGATACAACGCAGAACTTCGTACATGAGTACATCAGTTCAGGTTGCCATACCACATCAGCACACAGACGCAACTTTTGCTTCGAATCCAAGAGAGATAGTGATAGTAGAAGTATTAGCAGTAATGAAGAAGATTAGGGAGCAAAGATATGATTCGAGAAGTATAATTCAGTGAGATTAATTTAAAAAGAGAAAGATAGAGATGATGAGTAATTCAGAAGGTTGGAATTAGAGAGAACACAAAGAGTGGATGCACCGGCGCCATTGCAAACGATTTTGAGCCATGTCGTTCAAGGTATCTTACCATCGATTATTATCATCTCGTGGACCCTAACCACGTAGTCTGCACCTACCAACATGACTCAGTCCACTTGTCAGTGACTTCATACCTTTGCGCCATGTTTTGGTTTGGCCACCCCTATTTTTCTTCCAACCTACTCCAACACCACAAAACATAGCTCATCGCGGCAGTCGGTGGTTAGGTATACGCAACGCATGTTCCAACCACTTGAACTGATAAAGTTTCATTACTTCATCTATTGGTCTGCCATTCTTACCTAACACACGTTTCCCGATAACAGCACTGATTAGTCGGTTGTCCCACAATACTCGAGCAATGCTTCTAAGACATCTATGATCGAGAACCAGTAACCTACGAATATCTTCTACACTCACTGGCCATATTTCACAGACATACAGTTGGACGGAGCGAACTACTGCACAGTACACTCGTCCCTTAGTTAGCGAACGGATATCTCGCCTACGCCATAAATGACGCAAGTTAGCAAAAGCCAATTGAGTTGTCTGTATGCGTGCTGAGATTTCGTTAGTCCCCAGGCCTTCAGCACTGATGAGACTCCCGAGATAAGTGAAGCGGTCAACACGCTCAACTGCTTCACTCCCAATCACTAGTTCAGATGCCAATACAAGCCAATCCTGAAGCAACATTCAGCATTTCGAGAGGGAAAAAAGCATCCTGAACATTCTTGAATTGTTTCTTAAGGCAGTCACGAGATACTGCATTTCGTCAGGGTCTTCACAAAATAGAACTATGTCATTGGCATATTCTAGGTCAGTAAGCGATTTTCCTGGTAGAAGGTCGACTCCTGAAAAGTCGAACGAAGATAACGTTACATCCAGAAGCAAGTCTATGATAACTTCGAACAACAATGGAGAGATTGGACAGCCCTGACGGACACCACTTGAAGTAAAGAATTCTGATGACAGTTCGCCATAAGCTCTCACTCGACCAGTGGTGTTCGAGTAGAGAGCTTGTATAAGGTTATTGTTCTTCTTTGGTACACCTTTCAATGACAGACACTGCCACAGAACCTCACGATCCACAGAGTCAAATGCCGCCTTAAGGTCCAGGAAGACAACTATTGTATGACGCCTAAATGTGCGTCTGCGTTCCAAGACCTGTCTTAGTGTGAATATGTGGTCCATACAGCCACGTCCACGTTTAAAACCAGACTGGTTTTCTCGCGGTTAGAAAAGGTCGACCCTAAATATGTCACACCTCACCTTGATTTGATCTTGACCAATTTGGTCTCGTCTACTCTTTGTTTTCCTTTTAATTCTAATCATCTGAATTCCTCATCATCGCTATCTTTCTCCTTACAAATTTATCTCACTGAATTATAATTTTCGAATCATATCTTCGAACCCTGATCTTCTCCATTGCTGCTAATACTTCTAATATCGCTATCACTCTGGGATTTGAACTGACGAACGCGTCTCTGTGCTGATGTGGTATGGCAACATGAACTGATGTACTCATGTACGAAGTTCTGCGTTGTATTAGTCTGTCTGTCACATCTCACCTCACCTCACAGATTTCCGTCTCCGGCGGTAAGGGTGCCCACGAAGGGCTTTCAAGAGCGCAGCTAATACTCAAAAAACCTCCCATAAAAAGGCCGTGCGTGACCGGCCTCGAGCAGTTATTTCTTGAGCTTTGCGGTCACGCTCCAAGGTCGTTAAGACCACCGCTAATCTACCTTCATTTCCAGGTTCCTCAAGAAACACCTATGGTGTGGTAGCCTGGAAGTGACAACTGCCCTCATACACATAAAAGCACACGAAACCAAATTGGTCACAATCAAATCCTTTCTACACCTCTAAATAACTCTCTTATCTCCTAGACCAACCCTTCTTTAGATCGTTTATCACCTCACGCCACTGAAGCAAACGGTATGAGCAACAGGCTTCATTAGCTAAAACTCTGAAATCCCGGGCGGTCGTTGTATGTTGAGTCTCCGAAACACGTATACAAGATCCGAGTAAAATCATCAATTTGATCTAACCTAGTGCAGATAGCTACACAACAAAATTACGCTTCGTGTTTTTGCAGGCCCTGATGCGGCTTCTCGTGGCTTTACCGGCGTAGGTATAGTACTAAGTCATAGGGCAGAACAAGCTATCTTAAATTGGATCCCGGTAGACAGTCGCTTATGCTCTGTTCGATTAAACAGAACGGTACGAAGTCGGAAGGATAGGTAGACTCGTTGCCTCTCCGTCGTATCTGCCTACGCTCCAACTGATTGCAGTTTAGACGACATAAAAGATACGTTTTATGGAAACCTCTCTAAAATTCTCCAAAATATTAAGCGATCTGATATAGTAATAATGGCTGGTGACTTTAACGCTCAAGTAGGTAGACTCAGTGAAAAGGAAAGACACCTGAGTGGATCATATGGTGTCGCGGTTAATAGAACAGATAATGACGACCGTCTGCTGCAACTATGCAAGTGTGGTGCGCGCTACTTATAAGTAGTATATGACGCGAGTGAAAACGTAATGTCTGGCAGCAGAAGATGGGGAAGATCAAGAAAGGAAGAGTGGGAACACAATGGAATTTGTATGAAACGCATGAATAGTGAAATGTCAGACAATGGATTGATGATGGATTGAAGATTTGCAAATTAACCGTTTACGATATGGTTTTCCTATTTTACCGACTAACTTTGTAATTTGCGATACAACACCAAGTTTACATGGACTGGGGCTGCCGAACAAACGTTCAACCAAATCAAAAACATGCTAGACGATCGTCAGATGACGCTGCGACTACCCGAACCCTGAAACTGTTTACAGTGGCCACAGATGCAAGTGATCATGCTATAAGTGCGGTATTGAGTCAGGCCGATAGAGTGGTGGAATACGCAAGTCGCGTTCTCACACCCGCCGAGCAGAAGTATTCAACGATCGAAAAGGAGTGCCTAGCAATCGTGTGGGCTTTAGAAAAATGGAGACCGTACCTTTTAGGTAGACGATTTTACATTGAAACTGACCATAAACTCCTGCAGTGGTTGAGAACAGCAAGAGACCCCCGAGGGAAGTTGGCGCGGTGGATGATACGTCTGCAAGAATACGACTTCAGTATCGACCATGTTACACGAAAAGATAACGTAATGGCGGATTACTTGTCAAGATCACACATGGAAGATGACCTTCCAGTGACAGCATACGCGGTGAGTAGTTTAGATAATGACCCATTAGAACTCATCCGGCAACAGAAAGCCGACCAGAACCTTCGAGAGGTAATCAGAGTGATAAAAGAAGGAGCAGACGTAGACAAACGAACGACGGACAAGGGGGTAGTAATGTTACTTCGGCAAAATGGACAACTGAGAGTGAACACATATGGAGTCCTGATCTGGCAGGACGATGACAAGAATTGGGTGGCTGTAATCCCGAAAGACTGGCGGCGTAAGATGATAAACGAGTGTCACCAGGTAGCACATACAGGCTTCGCAAGGACGACGGATTTATTACGATAAAGTGCATACTGGCCGGGCATGAGAGACGATGTGGCTCAATACGTGTTACCTTCCCAGCAGTGTCAACTAATGAAAAGCGATAGATACACACAACCGCCGTTACAGTCGATCCCAGTAACCGCAGTCGGTAATCTATGGTCGGTGGATATAATGGGACCGTTTCCACAGACGGCGACCGGTAACCGGTACCTGCTAGTGATGACGGAGCATGCTACACGTTGGATAGATGCCGTACCCATTGCAGAGCAGCGGGCAACAACAGTGACCGAAGTGGTGATCCGGCATATTGTAGCGTACCACGGAATACCGAAAATGATATTAACTGACCAGGGTCCCTGTTTTGAAAGTGACGAGTTTAAAGACCATCTAAAACAGTTTGGGATCAAGAGGATACGAACTACACCGTATCATACTCAGACAAACGGGCTTACAGAGAGAAACAACTGGACGTTAAAGGAATAGTTAGCATCTAAAGGAGGAGATTGGGAGAAAAAGTTACCATTGATTTTGCTGGCGCATCGTTCCTCCATACAAGGTACAACCAAGAAATCACCCTTCTCGCTCATGTATGTCAGACAACCGCGACTTCAATTGCACAATAAGACCTGGCCACAACAACAGAAATGGACAACAGCAAGGTTAAGAAAAGAGAGGAGGGAGGCAATCAGGAACGTGGGAAAGAAGCAAATATCAGACATAAAGAAGGCGAAACAACAGAGGAGAACGTGGAAACCTTTTGCAGTGGGGGACCTAGTAAAGTGTAGAGAACAAAAAAGTAGAATTGCAGGGGGATCAGGGTGGGGAAAGCTGATCCCAAAGTGGGACGGACCGTACGTTATCACGGAGAGACGCGGCGCGGTGTACACGATCCGGAGAGAAGACAAGCAGAAGCGTGTAAATGCCAGTCAATTGCAGAGGTGGTTTCAAGATTACTAAGCGTGGGAGTCACGGAAAGCACCAAAGAAGACAGCGATACGGCGATCAGAAACATTACGACGACAGCTTATTAAGGGGGGGGACGAGTGTGGTGCGCGCTACTTATAAGTAGTATATGACGCGAGTGAAAACGTAATGTCTGGCAGCAGAAGATGGGGAAGATCAAGAAAGGAAGAGTGGGAACACAATGGAATTTGTATGAAACGCATGAATAGTGAAATGTCAGACAATGGATTGATGATGGATTGAAGATTTGCAAATTAACCGTTTACGATATGGTTTTCCTATTTTACCGATTAACTCTGTAATTTGCGATAAATACAACTTGGTTGCCCCCACCTGTGTTCTCCTTCACTACACTAGGATAACCGCCTATTTCTAGCAAACACTAACTTTAAGCATAAAATAAAACACCTTTTGAGATGGCAACCCCCAAAGCCGACCCAACTAGACCAGATTGCTATAAGCTATCGGTGGAGAGAATTTATTGAAGACTGCCGTTCATTCTGAGACACCTGTTTAAACTCAAACCATGCTCTAGTGCGAGCGCATATTTGTTCGCAACTGGCCCGACTGGTCTAAATCCCTGATTATTGCAATTTATTACAAGAAAGGACAGAAGTCTTCTTGTGACAATCACAGGGGAATAAGTCTAACTAATATAGTTTCTAGATTGTTAGCCTCGATTATACTTAGACGCCTAACTAGAGCTCGTGAAGAGCAAACTCGAGAAAACCAGTCTGGTTTTAAACGTGGACGTGGCTGTATGGACCACATATTCACACTAAGACAGGTCTTGGAACGCAGACGCACATTTAGGCGTCATACAATAGTTGTCTTCCTGGACCTTAAGGCGGCATTTGACTCTGTGGATCGTGAGGTTCTGTGGCAGTGTCTGTCATTGAAAGGTGTACCAAAGAAGAACAATAACCTTATACAAGCTCTCTACTCGAACACCACTGGTCGAGTGAGAGCTTATGGCGAACTGTCATCAGAATTCTTTACTTCAAGTGGTGTCCGTCAGGGCTGTCCAATCTCTCCATTGTTTGATGTTATCATAGACCATGAGTGACATGGATCAAAATCGTTTGCAATGGCGCCGGTGCATTTATTCTTTGTGTTGTTCCAAATCTTAATTTTCCGGATTCTTCAGGACCGTCGTTTTTCTCTTTTTTGTAATCGATCCCTCCGGGGTATACATTTCAAATGATATATTCGATCATTAATTTTTTTTGATTACTGCTAATACTTTCACTACCTCTACTACTACTATGGGATTTGAATTGACATTTACATCTTTGTGCTAATGTAGTATGTCAACCTGAACTGATGTACGCACGAAGTTCTTTCTATGCTGTGTCTGACTAACTGACGGGAGAGTAAGTGAGAAGAAATAACGGTATATAGTTAATTTTTTAAGCTTAAGCTTTGCATATGTAATAATAGTCGGAACATGTTTGGAATTTTTCAGAACAGCACTTATCTATGCACATAATCGAAAATAAACCAAGTTAAATTCATGTTGAATTGATTTATCATAAACGTTACAGACAATGAGACATGAATGGTGTTTAGTTTACTTGAGGTCTAACCTATATCCTCGTGAAGAATACCGATAAGTACACAATTTAGGTCAAGAAATTATTAGCTCCTGCCGAAACATTCATAATGAAAGAGAAGCCAATTGATCTATTTACAAGCTTTATGATATAAAATGATGCATTTCATTTGGTCATATATGGTTAAATATTCTGTGTTGGTGTTAGAAATTGAACAGTTGATCTAAGTGTACATAATTAGTACATCGTACTTCAGTAAGTAGAGAGATGCCTATGTACATGAATTTTAATTAATATAATATACTGCATGTGCTTAACTTAAAATCACGCGTCGAAAATTGGATCGCCACATTTTCATCAGCACAATACAAAACTCAATTAGTTAGTCACAAGAAGTTTATAAAGGTATAACGGCATTCAATGGTGTTAATATCTAACGTCAATCAATTCACGATATTGCACAACCTCATCCATCAAGTGCTCATTAGTGACTAGCTTCGTGAGGAAATTCTCGGAGTTCTAGTGAGAAGCCATGACCAGTAGAGTGAGGTCGCACAATATCATGGACTTAAGTCAGACGTTACCAATGTTCGATGCCGGCTTAGCGCGAGACTAAAGGTCCTGGGTCCGATTTCCGCGTGCAGGGGTCATGGATGAGCACTACTGATGAGTCCTATACTAGGTCCAGACGACGGCCGTCCAGTGCTTCCGGGATGATAATGTTGGTTTAACATTGATTCATGATTTTTGTCATGCCATCTCCACAATCTCAACAATCTTTACAGCTCTATAATGACGAGTGAAGCTACAAATCAACCTTTGCTTAGGAATTGAAATATTGGTTTGCAATTTATGTGCGTAAACATAATGTCAAGCATTAGTCTAAATATTTAGTATTCAGTATAAAAAAATATGGCCATAAACATACAAAAGTTACATACCTTGATTCTTTGAGTTCAATATTTTTATTTGTACTAGCATTAGTTGTTCTCCATTGTTGCATAACTTCAGCCAACTGTTGATTACGTGTAGCGTAGAAATGTAAAACTATGTCAATACCACCTTGAGGTGCAACAAAAGCATGTAATCCTGAGGGCCATCCTTCCGCTTGACAACAAGCCTCAACCGCTTCACGTGACCAACCATATTTTGGGACATAGGCTAATGTGGATTCTAACACACAGGCTTTTAAATTTGAATCTAGTACGAGTTGAGTGGTTCCAGTACCATGAGATTTATTATGATCACTGTAAGTGACAGGAGCTAGAAATGTGAGGAAATAGAATAAACATTTACATGAAAGCTGTTGAGTAAATTTGAATAAATGGATAGAAATCGTTCATAAATACAAAGAAACAACAATAAGAGTTTTGAGAAAAAGACGGAAGTATGAAGATGGTAAAACAAACCTTACGAATAGAATAAGGAAATAAGTATTGATGAAATTAGAAAACATTTAGGGTTAAATCTTTCAAATAAATAACCAATTTTATGTGTACCACAGTAATTTCCAAATTGGTGCGGTTCGTTCATGTGAATCTTTGTCATATTTATTAAGGCTGATATATTAAACTTTATGACTCTGAAAACTAAAAATAACATAAAGTGAGGTAAATTAATTGACCATAACGGATAAACCATAGAATTTTTAGGAATGGTAGCCTAGAAATGTTAGTTGGATTGATTAAAATGGCAGCTAGTCGGGGAATCGAACGTTATTCCATCTGACTAGACTTTATTCCTGATAGCACTGGTGTAAAATTCCTCTAGTACTAATATAACAGAGTAATTAGTTTCAAACTCATAAAACAAATAGTTAAGGCTTAGAATACAAACTACATATTGATGTAAATTAAATATCTTAGGTAATCAATAACGTTATCTAACTTTTTTTTAGTGTAACTGTACTACAGTAGCATAACCATCAGAAAATATGAACAAATTGAATAGGGTTTGTATTAACAGGAAATTAGATTTAAATAGAAAGAAAGGTAAGCTATGATAAAAGCATGAACGTAAGACAGTTAGTTGTCGAAATAGTTTTGTTGAGAATTTTATTTCCTCGAAGGAAAAAGTTTACTTAAAAATTTAAATCTGGAAAATACTGTGTTCAATGTAATCGGCACCGAATTTTCGTCAATTTATTTGTTCAAATTTTGGCGTATGCTGACAAATACAAAAATGACTGCATATTTAACAAGTTGAGACCAGAAAAAGAAATAATAAATCTCAGAACCTATTGGTTAAAATGCTACGCAGAATGTGACTATAAACAACTTACATAAGTAACACAATCCTTGAGAAGGAACATGATTAATTGAAGATCCTACAGTGACCACTCTGTATTTAGAGCTACTATTTACAGACAAGGCTGCTGAACATAACCTAAAAAATTAAAGCAGATTTTAGTCACATGTAAAAGGAAACCATACATGTGATAAGAACGTAAAGAAATACTAGCTATGTTTTGCCTGGTTTGAAGGCAAGAACTAACAATTTGGTGAATGTGTTTGGTCTCTTTGGCCTCAGTTTAGTGCCGATGGGTCCGTCATCACTAATTTCATTTCCATTTCAGTAACTACTAGCTACGATTGTCACGGACCCCAAACTAAAATGACTCAGTCCAATTGTCAATAGCTTTACAGACTAGTGCCATGTTTTGGTTGCTCCTAGCTTGTGTCCATTAGACAGCAACTTCACACCTAATAACTTTTTCGCTGTTTGATCAAAATGAAACTAAGAAACCTTGAAGAGTTCGAAATGCACAATTATTTTTCTTAGATTGAACCAGTGATTGTAGTTTGGACGAAACAGAAAGCCAATTAATCAGCGGCTTTCTAAACTTAGTCCCATTCCCATATGAATTAATAATTGTAGCAGATGCTAACACTCAGAAACTCAAAATAAAACAAGCCAAAGGACAATCAAATACTATTTCTCGTATTTCAGCTCGGTGAATACGCAACGGCGACTATTTATTGTAAATAGACTTTACTGTGAGGATTAACTTCGAAAGCAAACAAAGTTTAACTTAGATATCACCAATACCAACTTAATAGTTGATACAGACAGACCATATTGGTACAATCCACGATTGGAAGATCAGTGTATTTTTGCTTCGTATAAAGAATATTTTTGAACTATAATCATAGTTTTATGCAATCACATTTATTTTTGTAGAACAAAATAGTAACTAAGAGACTTTTGTAACTTTGGCTTGTTGAGTTATGATTTCAGATGTGCAGAAATAGCTGCTGGCAAACTTATTGTGAAATACACCGAACGCTAATGAATCTTGAGAACTATCTGAAACAGATGCTCGAAGGCATAGGCGAGGTGGCTTACGCTGTTCATGGACAATCATATTAATCACTCATCTTTAGCTTTTTATTTTTAACTTTTGCTCTTATTATGTTGACAGGAGACTTAAACCTTGAGTTGATATATATCCGCCCAAGGTTTTTCCTCGTTTCTGACTGATAGCGTAAGTGTAGACTACCTAGTTGGGGTCCGCGAGACGAAAGTCACCAATGGTTAGAGACCTTGGACGACATAGCTCAAAATCGTTTGCGATGGCGCAGGTGCATCCACTCTTTGTATCCTATGAAATTCTAATCTTCTGAATTCCTTATCACCTCTTTCTCCTTCTATGTTTATTTCACTAGATTATACTTCTTGAATAATGTCTTCGAACCCTAATCTTCTTCATTACTGCTAAAACTTCTACTATCTCTACCACTATGGAATTTGAACTGGTAGTTGCGCCTCTGTGTTGTGGTATGACAACCTGAACTTATGTACGTACGTACGAAGTTCCACGTTGTAAGTGACTGACTGATAGGAAAGTGTAAATTCTTATTTACTAAACTCTAATAAACAGTGTAGCTGTCTTTATCCTCGCTGGCTATGTTATTATTAATAGAGTTAATTGCTTCTTTTGTCATCGAGGCAAATTGAGGTAGAGAGCTCGTTTGACATATCTAACGGAGATAAACTGAAATTCGAAGAGTACAAATGTAAAGGAAATGGAAATATGTGAAGGCGGTTTACTTCAGTTGTCGTCCTCCAGAAAGAATAAGTCGTCCAATCATAGTTTCTTCGGCTCAGTGAACGAAAACGACTACCTAGAATTAAGATGTGGAGTTGCAAACCAGTAGATAAATTGAGATTATAACAAGGAGTATGGAAATAAAATTTTATTTACAAAACTAGTAATACACAAACAAGTAACCCCCTCCTCATTTACACAGAACTTGTAAGTTTGAATGGTAGGTATTTCTCAGTTTGATGTAAAGTCATTTCTAAAAGACGTAAACGAAGCATGATGCTTTCTTGAACACCAAGTTTTGATGTTAAAGTGCTAATTTTTGTAGTATCATCTGTATTGCTCAAGGTCACTTGAAGTGCAGAAATACCAGCTTGACACTGAACAATACGTTGATCTAAACAGGACTTTAGATTATACATGAATTCACAGAAGTAACTTAATTTCCCATCGGTATTATTAGTTAATAACTCCACAATGTAGATTACAGGTGATGAAGGATTTGATTTGAACGTCATAAATATGTACAGAGCCAAGTTTAAGGCAGATAATAACCAGCTGCTTTCGTCAATTAAATTCTCTTGTGAATTGAATGGCAAAGGATACCTGAATATGTATTTAAATATACGCCTGACTTCTTCTGAATAGCATGTATTAACACTATTTTCTGGATCGGTTACTTCAGAATACCCTTCAAAATCCTTAACAGTCTGCATGATAAGATTATGTAAATTATTTTTGAATAAAGTGACCACATGCCCACGCCAACCATGATGTATATTATCTTGAATAGGTTCTAATAATTTGGCGTAAATGCAGAACCGAGCGAGGTAAGTTGATGATGAGATTATTTGCTCAATACAACCAACTGCCTCGGTAATATACTCTGGAAGAGACGCGTCAGATACTGGTTCGGTAGCAACAATCTCTAGACACTCTAATAACTTAAACCGATCAGGATTCCACCAGACACGATGAAGAGAACAACTGTACTTTTTGAAAAGACTTTGAATGAAATGCAAGGTAAATCTCCGTAACTTGGAATATCTGTCTGAATTAAATGCTTGGTTTTTGGAATCTACAAGACTGACTTTACAGTTATCAAGAAGCAAATTACGCTTCGATCTATCCAGCAAAAAATCTACTAGAAGACAGATTAAATCGATCCAGTAGTCATCAGTAAAAACTAATGGCCAGAACCTGTAAAGTTCATGTGTAGAACTTGTAAAAAAGTAGTGCAATAGCCGAATCCAACTTGGTACTATAACGGAAGCAGCTGTCCTGCCATAGAGAACCATATCTGGTGATGTGAGAAGTAATTTACGACATGATAAATAAAGTGTGTACAACCCTACACCTATATTCGAAAGATTGCTTATAAAACGGGTGAGAACAATTTCTGTGTCTTGAGAATCATTGTACGGTAACATAGAAATCATGAACAAGGTATGATGCTGTAGAAAAGACTTATCAGTAGAATTTAACAGCTTAGATTTAGCTGGCGAAATCAAGTTCCCAAATAGGTCAGCAGATGCATTTAGAGCACATAGTAACTCACTGTAGGGGAGATTTTTCAGCAGACTCTCACAAGAAATAAAAACACCTTTGAATCGGCCAAAGTGTTTAAAATCAATTTTAGTAGCACAAACAGATACAGCCTTAAGAATCCGAATAAAATATTCCACGTTACTAGAGTTACTAAGACAACCTTGGAGAAGAAGAAGGCACTCATCACAGTCGAACGAAGCTGATATTTCAAGTAGACTTTGTTCAAATACAGGAAGTAAATCGCTGTCACTTAGCAAACAAAGTTTTTCTAACCGGTTACACAGCCACTGAATCACGTAGGGTAGGTCGTCGCCCGGCATACACGAGTACAGTGACGTAAATTGTTTCTTTAAATTAGTTACATTGCGGCAAGCAGCATATTCATCAATTAGAGAACAAATTTCACTCACACTTGGGGTGACTATCGCTTCCGACATGAGTAACGCGAATTCAGTAATGTGCGCTGTTGTACTGGGTGCAATGTTCAATATCTGCACCTCAGTACGTGTTTGTCAAATAAGGAAGAATGTTCATGACATGATATTTCGAGTACTCTGATCTAAAACTAAAGTTGACTGCTCATTCCTCTTTTGTTTCCAAGTTATTTTGAAGTCTAATTAAATCCTCTTCTATCCCTTCAGACTTTCATCATCTGTTTCGTCTAACAAGTCATTAATGAATATTAGGAAGAGGACTGGTACTAGTACCGAATCATAGTACGTCGATTATTTCACAGTTAGTCAGCTGGCACTAGATTCTGATGGTACTCTAAGCTTATGGTTACATTAGTTAACTGGTCGGTGGAGTTTGTGGTATTGTTCTCAGCCATCTCTAGGTCGGCAAGATCTTCACCATTCAAAACTTTGAAAGCGAAAATACTGTGGTTTGTAGGTTTTATTTTAGCCATGGACCTGAACAGATATTTTGAGATTGCCCACATTTAGGCTGCTGGATTCGTCTGGAAGCGTTTGTCCATATTTGGCTTCATTAATCATTGAAGATGGCTGTCAAGTTCTTAACCGTTATCCGATTGTTAGGGTTTTGCCGTTTGGATCTCTATGAGAGAGAATGTCTTGGTTTAGAGGTTCTTTTTTAGTCATAAACCTAAACGGGAATTTTGAGTTTGTCTGTATTACTCCTGCCAGCTTCGTCCCGAAGTGTCTCCCATGTCCTAGAACCTTGATTTCGAATCTCTTTCTCAATGCAAAGTAGGAACTACAGTCGGAATCCTACAGAGAGACTTTTCACATATGCCAGGTTCTCCACCTCGCCTACAGCAGGCGCTCAGTACAAGCATGACCCACGTACTTCTCTTTCTAGGTGTGGGATTTGTCTGACGTTCGTTTCGTAGGACAGAATACTGAATGATATTTATCACCTCATGTGTGTCTAGGCGAGTTTCACATGCGAAATCCGTTTAGTGAGTTCATATATACTACTAGATATATTTGCCGTCACATATTAGCATGAAAATATTTTTCTCACTCTTTGTAAAGCTAATAGAAAGTATGGTACGTAAAAATAATTGGTGAATTGAGTGGTTTTGAAGCTACAAATTTCTCTAAAACTAACTAGCTTTCAGCTTTCTTCCTTTCTAGTCATGCAGTAGAATAATCTTCATTTAGAAAGGATATGGCGAATAACAAGTTTCCTTTTGGGCTAATGCTCCTTGTGACAAACAGAACAACAATTAACATAGGTATTTGGGATGTCCACATATTATGTAACCGGTAGAACAATTCACGTAGCTGCCGAAATAAATAGAAACACCCCGGAGTTATTTGAAACAAGTGAAACCTATTTGAACCAAAAAGTTCTGTTTCTGGAGACCCGCTGTTGTACTGTTTGAATGAAGAAGAAAGTGCCTCGCACGCAAAGTTGCTCTGGTAATGCTGAGCAAGGATCGAAAACACTAACAGGATGAGATTTTCATGGACCTAATGTCAAAGAAGTATCCTTAAAAACTAAAAATGAGGATATCACAATGAACATCATCCAGCGTTGTGCACCGACCAATAATAGCAGTGAAGTCGACTAATTATAGTTTTATGACAGGCATCAGTCAGTTGTCTAGAAATGCTTATGGTAGCGAAAGCCAAAGTACTGGCCGGAAACACAAAGTGAAGAAGAGTTTGTATGCAGAAATATCTGGAAGAGGTATCGATAAGAGTGCAGAAATCTACAAAACAAGGAAACATCAAACAACCGTGTGTTTAGTTTCACTATAGAATATAGTTAACGACAGTTATCACTTAGGAACAAGGAAGATAAACCAATCATCGAGATCTGATAACGTTGGATTAGGTGCGTTGAATAAGTTAAAGGGATGGTGAATTGATTTCCATCATTGAATTCACTGATCTAGAAGTAACACCTAAAGACTTTCCTACTAACTTTAAACCATTAACTGTCAAACAGCTCAGAAGGGTACAGAAGCTCGAATCACGGGACCATGAAAATGTCTCCATACCAATTAAGTTCGGATAACACATGTTATCCAAATCTTTTATGGGAAAAAAGACGGGCTCGACTAGATGAAATAGATCGATTTCGCGGTATCGAAGAAGTGTCGAAATATGCAAATGAATAAGAGAAGGTACAGAGCAACTTCCTGACACTGAAGTGATGCTTGCTAACAGCAAGAGTCAGTTGTGGCAGCCATAGCAGCAAGATCGAGCACAAGTGAAGTCACAACATTTATCTGGATACGTGACAGAGCTTTGGCAACATAGTTTGACTCTCCTTTATTACGACGAGGGTCTATCATGGACTGGGAGATAAAGTCTAAATGTCTGCACGCTCGCTGTGAAAAAAACTTAGATCTGGTACGCAAATCATACGTTAAAGTCTTATGGTCTGTGGACAGAATGAAATCACGACCCTATACTGTTTGCCCAAAATGTTCGATCACACAGCAGGCTTCTAAGTGTTCCCAACAAAAAGCACTATGTCTCGTTTTCGAGGCAGTAGGGCGTCGTTAGAAAAATTCTAGAGTCCATCAACTTCCACAGCTGCCCTGTTTCATTACAGCTCCTAAAACAAAATCCGATGCATCAACCGAAATGATGAGCGAGGAGCGTTGCTTGTGCCGAATATGTTTTGATCTCTGTAAATGCAGCACGTGCGGCATCGTCTAGCTCCAGTTTACGTGGACTACCACGTAGTAAATCGGTTAGCTGTCGTAACCATTCTGCAGCGTTTGGGATGACGTGGTGATAGAATTTAACCAAACCAGGGAATGCGTTTGGTTCCTTAAGTGCGGACGGCATAGTGTACTTCATAAGGGTACTCACTTTGTCCTTTCAAGGTAAGACATCCTCTTCCACAATTTACTGGCCTAAAGATTTCAACTCCGATTAGCCAAGTTTGCACTTGTCCGGGTTAGCTATTATTCCATTTATAGAATTCGTACGATATACTTCTTCGTGGGAGAAAAAAGTTTACTCCACGAACTCAGAGAATCAAGTAAGAAACAGATTCCAGAGGAAGAATTATATTTGATAGTGGCCTCGTGATATCGAAACAATATCGAGGCAAGAGGGCGTACAAACGGCTAACGTTCACGCAGGAGACGTGTGAAGAGGAGAATGGGAATAAAACGCTTGGCGCTTGAGAGATAGTCTATAGTACAGATAAACAAGAGGTGTATAATATAACAATTATTGTCAGAATTAAATACAATAATAAATGTTTATATTTTAGCAGTTGTGTTTTCTTCGTAAAAGTAAACAACTACACATTACCAGAGGGACGTTGGAATAACAGTATTAAGTGCTGCTAGTGTTGGATGACGCGATTAAAAGGTCCCCAATATAGACGTGAACAAAATCTAAGCCTTATGTTATGTTATCGATAAACCTTTGCAAAGTTTGAGCAGCATTCCGTAAGTCAAACAGCATTCGTAGGAACTCAAACAGATCAAAAGGAATCGTATAAGCGGTGTTCTCGACATCGTCAAGAGCGACCGGGGTCTGACGATAGACAGATCTTATAAAAGATTTTTGAACCCTTGAGCTATGCAGTGATGTCTTGTACGTGTTGGATGGAGTAGCTATCGAAACAAGTAGCCTCGTTTAATACTCTGTAACCACAGCATGGTCTCCAACTAACGCCAACCATGTGTAGAAGAGAGTTCCAGGGACTGTGAGAAGGACAGAAAATACTAGAACCAAGTAAAGTGTCAAACTTAGGCTTAGTGAAAGCCAGCTTATCCAGCGCCAGCCGGAGAGGTTTCGCCGTGACTGGAGGTACGCGGGTGAAATGTGGTGTACCATACGATTAGTCGCCAATGAAATCGACTCGAGACGTTTAGTTAGATGAGGGAATTCATCAAATGAAGCATGAAGTAAACTGTCATGCGAACGAATCACACCATTGATTCGTTAAGCTTCTGTTCGCGCATTGAGACCCTTGAATTTAATTTTCCACCAAGCATCGACTAGTTGCAGCCTTACAACTCAGCGTTGTGGGAAATCAATAAACTTCTCACTTATGTCACCTAATAACACTGATAGTTCTGAAGAAGATCTTACCGGTTGTTGTACTTTCATTATCGTTACAAAACCCTATAATTTGCATGATGACAAACATATTTGTAACACTGAGTACGAGCAATGATGCTGGTTCTATTTCAGATTTACAATTGAATGTGTTCATAGTTACAGGGAATTTGTTTTTGAGCATGAAGTTTCTAGAAGTATTTGTGTCGCTCGAAGCTCTGGAGAAAACAAAACGAGAGTTATTAGAGGCTGAAAAATGGAATAATAAATATTTCATGTATTTTGAATTTGATATTATCAAATAGACTGTTGAATAAGAAACTAATCCTTGACTCAGTGAGGCAAGGGTCTATAATTGTTGGGCTGAATGTATTGTTTGATTTTCACAGAAGGTTTATTCACAGCGCTGTTAAGATTGTAGATGTTTATGCACAAGCCGAAACAATTTTATGTTTCAGTATCACTGTATATTTTGTAGTCATATTTTATCGTAGTTAAATATAATCATTAGCCAAGTGCATGTACAGTTCCAATGGTTTCTCGTATTTAAGGAATACTTATTCGTATGATGTTCAACTAATAATTAAAATGATGAAAATCATTTCTACTTTCTAATAGATCTTAATGTGACAGAATAATGATGAAATGATATTAACTCATTGATTATATATATATATATATATATATATATATATATATATATATATATATATATATATATATATATATATATATATATATATTCATATTAATATGAATAATGGGTTTTCGATAAATGTAAGTAAACTTTAAAGTTGTGTAACTACAATATGTAAATGCTCGGCTTAACGATTAGATGGACTGATTGCGGCAGAAATGAAGTTAACAGAAAATAACGCCGGTTCTTATGTGCAGCTACTTTTTTTCACTATGAGAAACAACATTCACGTATCC